TCGAGGCATGGCTGCTAGGTACTTTCCAAATGAGTGCAGCGTGACATCCCGCACGGCTAGCCCATACGAACCTCGCTCGGTCCAGCTGTTGCCCCTGCTCAAGTACATCTCGTGAAGCCAGAGCCCATATCTGCCATGCACTTGTGTAGGGTTTGGGGTACTCCAGAGAAAATGAGAATTGCTGTGACCAGTATAAATAAAAGTATGACCACAGCATAACTTTCTGTTTATTTTCCTTGGAGTTTGGAGCATACATGCGTGTGTGAGATAGATATACACATGTAGAAACTTTCCATCAAACAAAGCCCATTATTACAAGAGTCCTAGGGCACCTGCATGGAACAACAATAGGAAAGAAAATTTCGGTTTGGGCTCCTTTGGTCCTGGCTGTACAACAAAATAGTGAGTGCCTGCCCAGTAACGTTCTAATAAAGTGTTTGTCAAAAGCTGCTGTAGTTAAACTCAACAGTTGTTTTGCATGAGATACAACTTCAGAACAAGTTGCTGAAGCTTAGTTATGCATGTGCTGCAAACAAGGCTTTGCTAAGGAAAGAGTATGGTAGTAATGTAATTATCGAGGTGTTCTGCTCTGCCTCAGTTGTTTTCTCAGAGAGCTTCAGTTCTTAAAACACTGCCGCTTTCTGTGTTGCCAGTAAAAGGAAAAGCTGAAGCAATATGTATGCAGTCCTGTCAGTTTTCACCAAAAAAATCTAGAACGGTTTTAACGGGGTCACTGACATCTCCCTGGCTTGGAGAACCTGCTTCAGTCCTTGCAAGCTGTGTAGTGGCCGTCGGGAGGAGCGTGTCAGGGGGCTCCAGCCTTTAGGACAGGGCAGTTCGTACATGATGGTCAGCATCAACCAGGCAGGCTGCAGGCATCCAGATCGCGTCCGGGTCCCTCAGACCCCGGCAGCAGTCCAGAGGCAGGAGAACACAAAATGTTTTTGAAGCCTCCTGTGTTGTTCTACAACAAGTTGATTGGCATAAAAATCACAGTAATTTTTTACATCCTTACCCCCAGGGTGACTGCGTCGGTAACATTTCCATGGGTTCTTTTGTGTTGCCCACAAGACTAGCCCCAGTTGTGTACCTTTCTGCATCTTCAGTCAGTCCTTCAGGCTTTCTTTTTTTTCCGCCCTTTATGTGAAATATTTCTTGATTTAGTCAACCTTGATATGAGAGCAAAGTCTGATGTTGCCCTTGGTCTTTCAGTATTAGTCTGTACTGTTACTGCAGGTGGATCAGTGAGCGTTGGAGAGCTTTGCTTTTAAACGTTTGGAGAAGGAGATCACCAGGAGTGTCCCCGTTTTACTGGAGTTTAATGTGCTTGTCGCACTCCTTTTCTTCCACTGCTTTCCACCCTGTGGCGTGCTGTGGAGAAATTAGGAGCAGCAGTGGAGAAGAGCAGCTAGTGGAGAACAGAAAAGGTTAGAAGGAGGAAAGAGAGAGGAGGAGAATAAAGGGGAAAATGACAGATTAAAAATCCACCCTGGAAACGTAAAAGAACGTTGTGAGAGAACAGGGAAAAACCCACTTCCTTAGAGTGAACCCAGACTTGTAGCTGTGGGTAAATCACAGTGAGGTGGGAGATGCAGCTCATTTGATGGACAGCTGATGGATGGTTGATGCTTATAATCAGCTGAGGGACAGCCCTGTTTTTGGAGGGATAGTGTAAATAAGTAAAATAGTTTTTACCCCAAACTACTAGTAATCTGTGTAGACAAAAAGCACATAGGAGAGGGAAGAGCCATGTACTTTAATTAGAAGCAGGGTGCAGGGAAGCTGATGTCTGCAAATAATATGCATCATCTGCTGCTACAGTATATAGAAGTGAAAGGTTGTTTTCCAGCAGCTTTTTGCTCTTTCCTATTTGTAGACCTCTCAGCATCTGGCTGCAAGCTCCTGCTTTAATTTTCTCTGTAGCTGATCTCATGGACTTTGGCTTTTTTGTGTAGTTCAGGGGACTTGGGGCACTCCACACAGCTACGTCATCATTTACCGTTCCTCCTTAGACTTGCTGTTGAGTGGCAGGTTGTACCTGACCTTTGCCCAGGACTACCAGGGATGGCAAAGCTAAAGCCTCGCTTCTTTCTGTGTTTTTGAAACAAAGGGATTGCTCCTCTCATAGGCCTCAATGGGCACTTGGTGCTGGGGAGAGGGCAAGGTGGTTTGTCTGCATGTGGAATCACAGGGCCGAACTGGGTCCCCAAGAAGTGATCTAACTAAGACAGTGTAGGCAAAGTCTTGGTCACTTACGACAGCAACTAGCATCTTTATATGTAGATATATGTTCTCATCCTCCTAAAAAGATACAATATGTACCATATATATGTATATATATGATGCGTATGTGTACATGTATATAATGTATAGTTTATTCAAGTGCTTTTCTTTCTTTCAGAAAGCTTTACTCACTGTCTTGGTAAAGTCTTTCTTCTTGTAATTTGAAAGTAAGTTCCTTTCCTCTTTGCATCATCCTTCTGAACAATTGAAGACTGTTCCCTTGTTTCCCTTCAGTTTCGTTTTGTTTAGATTAGATACATAATCCATCCTTTTTCTGCTCTTCGCTGAGTATCTTCCAACTTGTCCAAGTGTTACATGGAGTGCAGCAGTGAAACTTGACCAGAATTTTCCTGCTGACATCCCGGTAACGGTGAGTACAGCAGAAGGCTTTCCTCCCAGACCTCCGCTGCTCTCTGTCTGTTCCAGCGCAATGTTGGCTTTTTTGCAGAGTGCGTGTTGTTGATGCGTGTCGAGCGAGTAGCGCGCTGTAACCTCTAGCTCCCTTCCACAGAACTCCTCCTTAGCCAGGGGAGCGCAAGCTGGGCGATCGATGAAGGGTGGAAAATTGGTTGTGAGGCTAGCATGGGGTAATGAAATAGAAGAAGGGATAACAGTGCTTAGAGGAAAACTACTAAAGAAACTGTAAAAATATTGGGGAGGGGGGGGGGGCGGATAAAGACAAAACTTGGAATTTTTTTTCCACAGTTACTAAATCTGACGCCAAAAGCATTTTGGCAATAAATGTGCTGAAGTTTAGTTGGGTGTCAAGGTTATAACCTGCTTGAGGCTAGGAGATAGCCAAAGGAATTGTGTTTTTGTGTATGTACAAGACAGTATGAGCAGTATTACTAATGCGAACATTTGCTTGCTTGCATTGGTGCTTGCTGAAATCTGTCACTTGGCAGCCCAAGTTGCTTTTTCTGTGTGACCTTTTCATATTCTTTGTGCAAAAAGTTTCAGTTCAAGTTATTTTTGCATAAAGCATTAGATAAATTCAGTTGTTTTTGTTTGTGTGTGTTTCCCTGTAACAACAGTAATTTTGTAAGTTTCACGAAGCGGCACTTCAAACTTTTCCGTAGTCTTTTTTCCCCCCCGTTTCGAATGGCAGGGTTACTTGCGCCGTGTCCGGGGTGGGTACCTATGGAGAACAACTCTCGTGATGCTTTTGGTTTTATTTAGGCTGTGCCACACATACACAGCGAGTTTCTCTGCTCTGAAAAGAGGGGAAATCCTCATTCACTGAAACAATTTGTCATCCAGATTGGACAAAAAACTGTGGGTCTTTGTAGTGGGCTATAATCCTGCAAAATTTCAGCACTGTATTTTTTCCAGTAATCCCAAGATTGTTTGTTCAGCTGTTTTTATTCAGTGTAGCACTTAACGTGAGTATTTAAAAAAAAAAAGAGAGAGGTGGTTAAAGCGTGGAACATTGCGGTTTGTTTCTTTTTAAGGTCTTTGACATCTACTTGTTGTTTCAAACTCCTTTCGATGTTCACGTTGTTGACTTTGTGTGCGTGGAAAGGAGTTTGCTGTGTGCGTGAGCAGTCCCAGGAGGGATGTCAGCCATTTGTACTCCTGAGTCAGCAGAAGTTGCTGGAAAAAGGGCAGAAGTGTGGTAATTACTGCGGCGAACGCCGCGCTTTGCGTTGTGTTGTCTGATCCCAATTATGGGCCTTAAGCCCCTACTGACAGCTGCAATCCCCTTGTTTATGAATCTGTTCCTAAATGCTTTCTTTCCAAGAGTCACACAGCTACGACTGCACCCTGCTTCGTTTCAACATTTCCTCATTAGGCTGAAGGGAACTCCCTTAAACCTGCTACCTGCGCTTCTTCCATCGCCAGCGTGACAGGGGCCGGGTTAACAGAACCGTCTGAGGACCGGGGGCTGGGCTGGATTTGGGAGCAGGAGGGAAGGGCTCTCCATGTGGGCTGGAAAACCATGTTGTCAAATATCAGCAGTGTTAGTTCATAGTACCTGACCCAACTATTACTGAAATTGGCCAAGGACAGGGCTGGAATCATACAGGAGCCCGTGAGCTTTGTTTCTCCTTTGATCTTTCACTTTGGGCTATTTGAAACCAGAACTTCAAAAACTGAATAGAAATACGTTGTTTAATTTAACATATTTTTTCCACGTATGCTGTGGTCTGCTTAGGAGTTTTGGGTTGGTGGTGCGTTTTGTGGGGTTTGTTTGGTGTTTTTTTTTTAAATCCACAAAGTAGTACACTTAGTAACCCTGCGATGCTTCTATCCTTGAGCAAGTGTACAGCTACGACGGGACAGTCAGCTGTGGAACTGACCTGTGCTTCCTCTTTCAAGGCCTGCCCATGGGCAACTACACTATTTGTTGTTTTGCATATTCCATGATCGGTGCTAAAATTTGAGTTGCACAGTTTGCAGAAATGCTGAGTAACTGCTGTTTCCCTTTTATTTTGTTTTAAATAATTCAAAAAGATGCTTATACAAAGCTGTGGGTGCCCTGCTGCATTATTAATACTACAACAAAACCACAGCAGTATTAAAATAATTAGTCAAAAAGGAGCTCTGCCTGTCAAAAAGGAGCTCTGCTACTGACAGAAAATTCCATCCTACCTTTTTATCGCTCTGGAAATGTAGATCCAGGTCTCTCCACAAACGGTTTAAAATAGATAGCTTTTGCTGAAGCCCCTCTGTTGAAATTTAAGGAGGGGTAAAAAGAGCAGGAGCAAAGAGCTGACATGCCCCCAGAGGGCTCAGAGGAGACCACTCCGAAAGGACCAGTGGATGCGTGGGGAAATCAGGTCTTGGATCTCAGGAAGACGGGATCTGTATCCATCAGTTTTAATAAAGGTACAGAAGGATTTGAGCTGCGGGTGGAGCAGGCTGCGATAAGGCCGGTGTTGGGTGTCACCCTGGCGAGCTACACAGCCACCATCTTTTCCCAAATTGTTTGCAAAAGAACCTGATGTGAGCTCCCAGTTGAGGCTTTGTGTATCAGTCCCTTTTGAAGCAGGGTGCCTTGTATCTACAAGAAAACATTGTACAGAGGGATAAATTCTGCTTTTAAGTCTGTATTTTATATATGTGTCTTATGAATCTTTTTAGCACAATATATATTAACACGAATATTTACATATGAAAAGGAAATAGGATTTTAAACTATTTAGTTGAGTATGTACATATGCCTGTCCTTGTTTGATATCCCCCCTCCCCCCCAAGTAATCGGCAGAGAACGCCAAGGTTTTGGCATTTCACTCCCTTCTCACAGTCATTTCAGTCCTTCTTGAGAGCTGATACTTGGTTTTCTGCCTTAGCTATGTGATACTGAGGTTTCTCAGAAAGCTTTTAGATCCATATCCACTGGTCAGCAACTGCTTGGCTGCTTGTTTGAAGTTCCCATCTTAATTTCTATCAGAACATTTCCTAAGCCATTTCACATCTCCTGTCTTCAGCTAGAACACTGGTGACGTTCTGAGCAGTGGCTGAAAGCCCTGGTGCCGTAGCCAGCATCCCCGAGGCGCTGCCGTGACCTGGTGAGCAGCTCTTCCCCAGGCTGGTCCGAGAACATCGGTAATGGTGGTGGTCGCCTTCCTGAACCCAGTTTAGTATGAGGGAACTACCTGGGCCGGGCAGCCTTCTCCAGCCCTTGGTGGGCTGCGTTGCCTCATGTCCTGCAATACTGTTGTTGGTTATTGAAGGCATCCTCTCCTGCTGGCAGCCTGCCGGACTACCTTCTCCCAGCTGAACCTCAAGGCTTATTCTACTAGAGCTCCAGGGAGACATGCCTGCCGCAACTGTGTGCTGACGCTGTCAGTCAGGCAGGGGTGATGTGGAGTAACAGGCCGCTCTTGATCACGTATTATGTGCCTGACTGAAAAGCCCTGGCAGATCCTAGTTCAGGAGAGTGATGTGTATGGCTACCGCTGGGCGAAACGATTGAAACCTCAGCCTGGTGGCAGGCAGAAGAAGTAGTGTTTGCTGGTTGCCTGCAGTTGGACCTGCGACAGTGATACCTGAAGGACTTGCAATGAATCCTGTGAGTCATGCCATTACTTCTTGTTGTATCGGTTTCCTTTAGCTTTGTGCTCGGAGGGGGCGCAAAAACAGCCCCAGAGAATCCTGCCTTCTTCACCTTCTCATGGAAGACACCTCTGTGTGGTCTGGGCAGGCAGGATGCTTGTTGTAGGACAGAGCCTTGATTCGGACCGCCTAAGGAGAAAGCACCATAGAAACCCATTCTGGAGAACCAGCATTAGCATGGGGTGAGCAGCTGTTCTGTTGTCATCTTCCATGAAGTAACTGGAAAGCTGGGTCATAAATACTTGTGGCTCTGATCGTCTCTGCAGACTACACTGTGTGACAGGACAGCCTTGCTTGAGGGTCTGTGTCTTACGGATTGCGTTGAGTCATACAGTTGATTATTTAAATGTAAATAATAATTGACACACATTAAAATCTGAATTTCATTAGGTGGAGTTTTTTAGACTTAGGCAAATAAATTTTTTTTCTTTTATACGTGACACTGTAACATGCTTACTAGCTTTGACAAAGAGGTTTTTTCCCCTGATGCAGAGATAGCAGATAATAATAAGCAAGCAGACAAGGTTACGCAACAAGGGGATATTTTAATCATCTTTGTTTTGGAGAAGACAGGCCAGAGTGAGGTACCTCTTAGAAACAATCTACTTCACTGATACTTTGCTTCAACAGACTGACAGCATCTCGGAAAAGAAAATAAGTGTTTACTATTCCTGTCATAGAGTTCTTTCAATCACTGCGACAGATGTTCCAAGCATGTTGTTCCTCTGTTAGGTTTCTTTAGTAGTAAAAATACTGTGGTCTAAATATAGTTTAAATTGGTTGAGGTAGCTTGTTTGAATATGATTCAAAATTGCACTATACCTGGTTTAAATCATAGTGTGACAGGACAAAACCGTTGGAAAGACTATTTAAGATTATTTCAAACCCAGGTAGGAATTTTTGTTCAATCATACGTAAAGCGGTTCCAAAGAAGTGCTATCTTTTCCTAACGTATCTTGCAATCTGACTTAGGATGAACACTAGATAGTGTAGTGAACTCTTCTCACGTTCATTGTTTGGAATTACCTTAAATAAAAATGGAAACAATACTTAAATAGTTCTTTTTTCCTGTATCTGCAGGACAGCTATCTATTACACATCAGGAATACACACATTTTGTTTTCCTTGTTTTTTTCAATTGAAGCGGAGTTTAGCATTCAGGAACAGTTGACGTGGCTGAGATTAGAGAGAGAACCGATGTGCATATGCAATCTCTGCCATCTCTGCTGCTCACTTGCTCCTGGAGACTGCCGGGAGAGCGAACAAGACGATTCAGGCTGAGTTCTGCTGAGCATGTGGATGGTAAACAGCTCCTCCTTTTTATTCTCCCCCCTCCCCCCCGCTTTGTATCCAAATGACTGCTTGCTGTTCGTGAGACACATTTTTGGAGACCTCTGGCTTGGGAGCACAGCTGCCTGCCTGGCATCGGGTGACGGTGCTGTGACAGCAACTGCGCTGGCATCCCTTGCAGCGGCAAGCCTGATCCCGGTCGGTGACACTGATGGGGGGAACACTCGCGTGTGGGTACTGGCTGGCTGGAGGCTTTCTGCTCCCGCTTTTTGACGTCTGGCATCAGGACATGTGTACAGATGAAGTTGCTAAATTGCAGTGTTTGGGACGAGGTGCCCTTTCGTTTCCAAAAATTACGAGTAGAGTAACACTAGAACACAGTTCAAGGTTTGTATTTCGTCACTTGGACTTTCACTCCAGTGGAAGAGATTGGGGTTTCAACTTTAGAAAATCAAGATCATCAGTTTGTAATCTATTTTTGTTTCATTACTAGTTATTTTTTTTCAGACTGTTAAAATACTCCTCCAAGAAGGAAGAGTGGGGAAATACAGGTGCTGCGATCTCCAGTCACTAATGACTGAAAACAGTTGGCATCCTTCATTTTGTGCCCCTTTTTGGGGGAGGAGAGAGAAGCTCGCGTGATGATCACATGCTGCCAGGTCGTTGCTGTGAACTGGGTGGCAGTAGGAGTCTCCTGAAGGTCCCACTTATGCAGGAAAACTCACTGGGAGTTGGCTTAAGCATCCAACTTGGAGCCTTCAAAGGAGAAAACAGTTCATGTACGCTGTGTCTTGAAGCCATCTGCGCCCTGCTATGATCTCATGTAAGGAGACATTTTCTTCTACGTTTGTTTTACAGATTTAGAGTTAGGATCATTCGTGTTGATCTTTCTTTGGTTTCAAGCTTCTCTGCGCAGCAGTGACGATTGTAGTTATTGACTTACTCACTTGTGCATGTTACTTGTGTTGATTTAGTGCCATAAGTATCTAAGCTGCAAGAACAGTGCGAAAGACTTAGAACATCTAATTTCTCCCCATTTTTGCAGCATTGCTCTTGTGAGTAAACAGAAGTCCTACAGCATTCACCCCAGGAGGTGCTTTATAAAGTTCATGGGTAATTTTACTACCCCTGGACAGCTGAATGCAGTTTCTTTTTTTTTTTTTTTTTTTTTGCAGTGTGCTTGTGGCCTTCTCTTACTTGTTTTTATAAACAATTTTTTTTCTTTTAATGAAAGGTGGTCATTAACCTAATACTTGGGTTTGCTTTCCTGTGTGAAGAGACCAAAACCAGGACAGTGGGGCACAGCATCAGGACAGTTGTGGCACTGGGATTTCAAACTTCATCTCTTTTGTCCAGTTCCTGTGCCGAGGTATAGGAACATGGTGAGACCTGTATTTCCTGGAAGGTAAATTGGTCATTTAGGGACAGACACCTGAGATTCTTCTTTATTTCTTTGTCCTTACCCGTTCTTAACAACAAGGTTACCAGCAAGATGATGGTGCCTTTAGCTCAGGATTTAGCAGGGCAAATTACTGCACGTGAGGAGAAGAGGTAGAGTTTCTTGGAGGTTAGTAAAGATACATAAAGATACATGCCTGCCCATAGCATTTGGAGATGGCTGATAGGAATGGGAAACGCCTTGACCTTAACGTAACCTTCTTGCCCTGGTACTTTGCCATCAGTCTGAAGACCTGCAGTAGGAGATTTGACTGCCTCTCACAAGCTCTCTTACGAAGGCTGTCTCCCAAAAAGGGAAAGAAAAAGTTGTATAAAAATGTTTTCCTTCAAAACTGTATGCTACAGAATTCGACCGAGACCCTGATTTTAGCTCCAGTAGAAGTCTGAAACTGAAACAAATCATTTTCCAAGGCCCATTCTTCTGCCTGTATAAAGTAAGTGAACCACTGGTTCAGTGTGTGGGGCAGAATCTTCCTGAACGACAGCAAGGAGAAAGGTTTTCGCGAAGAGCCACAGCCGTGTCGGTTCGCTAGTTAGAGAGGTTTCGTCCTCCAAAGGGGGGACACGGGTTGGTTGTGAGAAATGGCCAGCGGAGAGCTCTGAGGGGAGGTGGTGCGCTGCGAGACAGAAGCTGAAGCGGCTGCAGACGCCGTACCTCCCTGCT